TTGATCAGGTCTAGTACCATTTCCATTCCAGAAGACCCAACAGAGCCGTCTTGCCGTCTGGCCCTCCAGGGAGGCCCCGCCAGTCCTTTCCAGACATCGCCCAACTGCGCCATTTCTCAGGTTTCGTGCCTTTCCACACCACCAACCCCTCCAGTGCCGTATGACCCACCAAAAAATGCCCCGCTAAACCGCGGCAGGCATCGCCAAGCCGTGTTGTTCATCAGGTCTCGTGCCCTCCCCACCCCACCAATCCCACCAATACCGTCTCACACTGCAGAGAAAGGAAGCCCTACCAGACCGCGGCAGGCATTGCCAAACCGTGTTGGTTATCAGGTCGCGTGGCCTTCCCATTCTTCCAATCCCGCAATTCTTCCACCGATCCCACCAGACCCGTCTGGTCCTTTAGGGAGGCCCCGCCAGACCGCGGCAAGTATCGCCAAGCAGAATTGCTACCCAAGCTTCGTGCACCATGTTACTTATCAGGTTTCAAACCCTTCGTACCCCACCAGTCCCATCAACGCCGTCTGACCCTCCAAAGAGGCCCCGGCAAACCGCGGCATACAACGCCAAACCGTGCATTGTTTTATCAGGTTTCGTGCTCGTCCCATTTCACCTGTCCCACCATTGCTGACTGGCCGTCAGGGAGTCCCCGAAAGTCAGCGGCAAGCACGGCCAAACCGTAGTATCAGTATCAGGCTTCGTGCCCCGTGTCCTTTATCAGGTGTCGTGCACTTTCCATTCCATCATTCCCATCATCGCCATCTGGCCTCTCAGGAAGGGCTCGTCAGACCGCAGCAGGCATCGCCAAATAGCATTATGTGTGCCCAGCTTCGTGCCTCTAGTTCTTTACGAGGTGTCGCGCCCTTCCCATTCCACTAATTCCACCAACGCCGTCTGACTCTCCAGAGAGGCCACGCCAAACCGCGGCAGACGCCGACAACCGGTGTCGTGCCCTCCCCATTCCACCAGTCCCACCAATGCCGTCTCACCCTCCAAGGAAGGCCCCGCCACACCGCCAACCGTGCTGTTTATGACATTTCGTGCCCTTCCCGTTCCACCAGTCACCAGTCCCACTGCCCGCCAGACCGCGGCAGGCGTCAGCTTCAAGAGTCGTGCCCTTTCCACTCCACCAGTCCCAAGAGTGCTGTCTGACCCTCCAGAGACAGAGAGGCCCCGCCAGACCGCGGCAGGCATCGCCAGACCGTGCTGCTCACCAAGCTTCATGCCCTGACCCCTCCACCAGTGAGTCTGGCCCTCCACAGGGGAAGGCGCAGAAGCGGAGGAACGGCGGCGGAGAAGGAGGAACCAATATTTCCTCCTGTTCGTGCAGATTTGGCGTCCTCGCGCGCGCACGCGACGCACTTGGAGCCATTATGTGGGCAACTCCGATTGCTTGCTTTTTTTATAACGGAAAAAACATTCATGGAAAATGCGACACTACGAGGTTACAACGGAATGTACCGCATGGGAAGGCGAACCCCATGATTCCCCCAAACATGTCATCTCTTGGAGACGACTTCGTTTTACTTCCGCCGGCTTCTGCCCGCGGAGCCGCACTGGTGCTGCTTGCACTGCCTTCCGCAGTCATCCGCCGAAGAAGAGATGTCAACTCCTTCGATCCTCGACGGCAAAGCCCTTTCCGGAAGAACTCTAATCGTGAGGTGGCAGCACCGTGTAGCATTGAACACCACAGCGTCCGGTCAGGAACTTGTGCTTGGCGTGTCGCGGCGGCGACCCCAGCGACACGCTATGCCCAGCCTTTGGATGGCGCGTCGCTCCGATCCGCGGGGCGGGAGGCTGGGAAAAGTTCAGCACATTGACGCGCGGGGACGGGGACGTGGACAGCATGTCGCTCCGAAGCGTGGTGGGCCAGAACTGGCGGAGCGACACGCCAAGCAAAAGCTCCTGACCGTATACGGCACAGCACAGCATCGTATAGCACGGCGTACGCAACGCACGAGAGAACGGAATGGCACTCAAGAGCACCGCGTAGCTCCGAAATACCGTTCCTGGGCTGCCCGCAGGTACCTCCCAGTACTTGTCCTGGGCTGCCCGCAGGTACATCCTAGGCACCTTTCCTGGGCGACGGCAGGTACCTCCCAAGTACATGCCCTCCCTGGGCTGCTCGCAGGTACGTCTCGTAGGTTACCTTTCCTGGTCGTCCGCGGGTCCCCGCCTATGTACATACCTTCCCTTGGCTGCCCGAGGGTACCTCCCAAGTGCTTCTCCTGGGCCGCCCGCACACCGCACGGGGGAGCACGGCACCGCACACCGCAGCACGGGCAGTAGACCACAGCACGGCACGGCACGGCGCAGCGGAGCGCACGGCCGAGCACACGGATCCCATGGCACGGCACGGAGCCCAACCGCGAGGAAGCGGCGCCCCCACCGAGAAGAGCAGGCCCGATGCGCCCTCCGTGCGCGGGCCCCCCTCCTTCCTCCTTCCTCCTTACTCCCTCCTCCTTCCTCCTTCTTGCTTCCGCCTTCCTCCTCCATCCTCCTCGTCCTCCTCCTTCCTCCTCCTTTGCCCTTGTTTTCCTCATCCTTCCTCCTCCTTCCTCCTTCCTCCTCCTCCTTCCTACTCCTTCCTCCTTCTTTCCTGCTTCCTGTTCCTTCTCCTTCCTCCTCCTTCCTCTTCTTCCTCATCCTTCCCCCTCCTCCTCCTCCGTCCTCCTCTCCTCCTCCTCCTCCTCCTCCTCCTCCTCCTCCCGCTCTCCTCTTCCCCCCTCCCGCCCCCACCCCCTCGTCGTCGTCGTCGTCGTCGTCGTCGTCGTCGTCGTCGTCGTCGTCGTCGTCGTCGTCGTCGTCGTGAGCCCTCCTGTCCAGCGGCTCACCGATGGAGCCCTGAGGGGTCGTGGCCCTGCGTGGGTTGCCCCAGGCACTGCTGGCTCGGTACGGGATCCGATCCCTGCGGGGCGGGAATGCCTCATCCAGGGCCACCCGTCTCCGGGGATCTCGGCATGCGGCGGATGTGACCACGCTCGGGCCCTGGCGGGGAGGGGGGCCAAACTGATCCAAATCCGCCGCCTGCTGAGGACCGCGCAGATCGACCCCCCAGGCGGTGGCTGTGGACGCATCCCCGCCTCGCAATCCCACCCCTCCTCCTACTCCTCCTCCTTCTCCTCCTCCTCCTCCTCCTCCTCCTCCTCCTCCTCCTCCCTCCTCCTCCTCCTCCTCTCCTCCTCCTCCTCCTCCTCCTCCTCCTCCTCCTCCCTCTCCTCCTCTCCTCCTCCTCCTCCTCCTCCTCCTCCTCCTCCTCCCTCCTCCTCCTCCTCCTCCTCCTCCTCCTCCTCCTCCTCCTCCTCCTCCTCCTCCTCCTCCTCCTCCTCCCTCCTCCTCCTCCTCCTCCTCCTCCTCCTCCTCCTCCTCCTCCTCCTCCTCTCTCCTCCTCCTCCTCTCCTCCTCCTCCTCCTCCTCCTCCTCCTCCTCCTCCTCCTCCTCCTCCTCCTCCTCCTCCTCCTCCCTCCTCCTCCTCCTCCTCCTCCTCCTCCTCCTCCTCCTCCTCTCCCCTCCTCCTCCTCCTCCTCCTCATCCTCCTCTCCTCCTCCTCCTCCTCCTCCTCCTCCTCCCTCCCTCCTCCTCCTCCTCCTCCTCCTCCTCCTCCTCCTCCTCCTCCTCCTCCCTCCTCCTCTCCTCCTCCTCCTCCTCCTCCTCCTCCTCCTCCTCCTCCCTCCTCCCTCCTCCTCCTCCCCTCCTCCCTCCTCCCTCCCTCCTCCTCCTCCTCCTCCTCCTCCTCCTCCTCCTCCTCCTACTCCTCCTCCCCCCTCCTCCTCCTCCTCCTCCTCCTCCTGTGGGCGCATCCCTCGAGGCCGCGCTTGGAGCCGCCCGGCCCTCAACCGCCCTCCCACGCCCCTCCGCGCGGGGGCCCCACGTGGCCCTCCCTCCTCCTCCTCGGTGAGCCTTTAGAGGACCCGGCGCTCTGCGTCGCGCGGGCCCCGCGACCTGCGCCACCCCTCCCTCCCCCCACCGGCTATTTGGCAGCATCGCCTACGGAGGTGCTCGAGCGTTCGGAAGCCTCGCCTGTTTTTGGGCCTACACACACAAAAACAGGCAGCATCGGCTGCCTTTGGGCGTCGCTAGGCAGCATCGCTACAGAGGTGCTTGCACGTTTGGGGGCACTGCTTTTGCGCGCTGTCGGGCAGGGTGAGGGCTCGAGCTGAACAGTTCTTTTCGTTCTCGTGCTGTTTTCGTTCTCCTTCGTCCTGTCTGCGTTCTGCCAATTGCTGCAAGACGCAACCAAAACGAAGACGGCCCACGAAATCGCCAAAACAACGCTTGGCTCAAGCCCTGGGGCAGAGCGAGGGGCTGGGCTTGTGGATGCCACGACAATGGACACCCTAACAGTCCTATCATCGAATTCAAAGTGTGTTTAAAATGTTGAACAAATGTTCTACATGCTTTTTTTATATGTTTTAAACATGTTTAGCATCTGTTTTAGACATCTGGAAATTATTTGGCAGCACGCTTCCTCTCCACTGATCGTCCTCCACGAGGCTGGGCGCTCTTGGTCACTGGCCCTGTGTCCGTGGTTGCAGCGGGCTTCTGCGGCCCACCCGATGGCCGGCCCGGGTTCCGGAGCCGGGCCCATGAGGAGCACGCGGCACCGCTCCAGGAGAAGCCCCGGGTTGGGCCTCCGAGGGCTCGTGCGCATGCCGTTTCCCGGGCAGGAGGGGCGAGGAGGAGGAGGAGGAGGAGGAGGAGGAGGAGGAGGAGGAGGAGGAGGAGGAGGAGGAGGAGGGGGGAGGGAGGGAGGAGGAGGAGGGAGGAGGAGGAGGAGAGGAGGAGGAGGGAGGAGGAGGAGGAGGAGGAGGAGGAGGAGGAGGAGGAGGGAGGAGGGAGGAGGAGGGAGGAGGAGGAGGAGGAAGGAGGAAGGAGGAGGGGGTCTGCTGGAGAGGAGCGCGGGGGGCTCTGATCTGCGGGCTCAGCAGGCGGAGGGGCGGGACGCCCGCGCGCGAGGCGAGGAGATCGGGCACGCGGAGGGAGCTGCTGGCCCAGAGCGTCCCTGCGACCTTTTTCGTGAAGCCGCTCCAGCCCTGGGTTCTCCCCCGACCCTCGAGCGAGAGCGCCACTGCACCTACGAGCCGAGAGCTACCTTTGCATTGACAGCTTAACCTACCGACCGCATTCGCCGGCGAGGAGCGAGAGCTTTTCGCTCCCGCAAGGGCTCCGTGCGCTCACTTCCAGCTTCGCTGGGATGAGTGCGCCCACAAAGCCCTGTTGGCCTCAGAGGCACCCCCCCGATTCACGATCCAAGCAAATCCGACGAATAATCCTGATTCTGACCCAGCCGGCCCGATCCGTGCCCAGAGAAAGGAGAGCCCTGATCGAGGGCCAGATCGACCGCCCTGTTCCGCTCGATCGGCAGATTGGCTTCCGCATCAGTAATGACCCGATCCTATGGTCGGTTTGCCAAGACCACCCTGCTTGAAGGCCAAGTCGGAGCCGCTTTGTGAACGCTTTTTGGCCTCTGGATGGGGAGGGAGTGACGGTTTCATTTACAGCGCGATCTTGGGGAGAAGGAGGAAAGCTGAGGGGAATATCAGCAATAGGGCTTGTTTAGTTCTCCATATCCTAAGATGGGGTTATTGAAATTAGTCAGACGCCTCCGACTCAAACCACACTTCCGACTCCCCCCACTCCTCCTCTTCCTCATTCAGACTCACTCATACTCAGATTCACTCGCACTCAGACTCAGTTATGTTCTGACTCACTCGTGACGTCGACCAATTCTTTCATATACCTTCCTCCTTCTCCCTCTCATCACACTCATTTTACTCATGCTCAGATTCACTCACACTCAGATCACACATACTCAGACCCATTCACACTCCGATTCACTTATACTCAGACTCAACACGCAGGCTCATACAGGCTCACTCGTACTCAGAATACTTAGATGCGCTCGGACTCAGAAACGTACACTCACACTCAGACTCCCCCCTCAGTCTCAGACTCATACAAACTCAGAGTCACTCGCACTCAGCCTCACACAGACCACTCACACTCAGGCTCGCCTTACATCGCCTTACGCTCAACTTGTGAGGATGTCTCGAACGAGACGCTGGATTCAGCACCCCAAGGGGGAGCCGCCAGGGGTATTTCACGAGTCCGTTTGCGCCCAGATGGGGGATGTCTCAGGCGGGTTGCCTGTGTGGTGGCTTGGTTTCTTTCCATTGCGTTCAGAGCAACTTGTGAGGACGTCTTAAGCGAGGCGCTGGCTTCAGCACCCCACGGGGAAGCCGCCAGGGGGTATTTCACGGGCCAGTTCGCGCCCAGATGGTGGGGATGTCTCGGGCGGTTTGCCTGTTTGGTGGCTTGGACTTCGGTACTTTCAAAGCAGATTGCGAGGATATCTCAAGCGAGGCGCTGGTTTCAGCGCCCCAGGCGGTCAGATCGTGGGAATGTCTCGAGCGAGGTGTTCGCTTTTATACCTCCGACTCCTGTCCATTCAGAGCCCCATGAACACTTCGATGTAGGAAGGAGGACGGCCGCCAGGACGGAGGAGGGAGGACGGAGGGGGGCGCAAGAAGAGGGAGAAGGGAAGCGGGAGGAAGAGAAGGGAGGGAGCACAACAGGGAGGAAGAGGAAGGAGAGGGGAGGTAGCCTGCTCACCGCCTGTCTGTCTGTGAGTTGTCGTCGTCGTCGCTGTCCCTCCTCGTAGCCGCCGCCGCCGCCGCCGCCGCCGCCGCCGCCGCCGCCGCCGTCGTCGTCGTCGTCGTCGTCGTCGTCGTCGTCGTCGTCGTCGTCGTCGTCGTCGTCGTCGTCGTCGTCGTCGTCGTCGTACTCTTCGTCCTCTGAGGCTCGCTCTCGCACCCAGACGCTCACGGCCAGACCCTCACAGCGGGACGTGATCGGGAATAGGATGCCCACATGGGGACCTCCGCATCGAAGAACTGTTATGGGCGCCCCATGGCCCTCAAAGGGTGACCCACCACCCCCCTGGGCTTAGGTCGGGCATGTCCTCCTACAGGGGGATTGTCGACGAAAAATGAAAAATTGTCCCCATACTATGTTTTGACTATGTTTGAATATTCCTCCTGTAGAGGGACATGCCCGAATTAACCCTGGGTCACCAAGCTTGGCGCTCCAAGCAGCTCGGAGCGCGATCGTCCTCGCGCTCTTGCGCGACCTCCGTGGAAGAGGGCACACCTCTGGTCCAGACCGCGAAGCGCCGCTACCTATCGCGCCCGCTCGGGTGACCTACGCCACGAGCCTGCTGCGGCCGCAGTCTCAGGTTGGGCATGTCCTCCTACAGGCGGACTTGGGAGGAAAAATGAAGAAGTAGTCAAAACATGCCCCAAAATAGCCCAAAATAGTCCAAAGATCGTCCCCATACTAGTGTGTAGCTATTTCTGATAGTCACCCTGTAGAGGGACGTGCCCGACTTAACCGTAGTCATGGATCGACGAATAAGAAATAGTCCAAACATGCCCAAAAGTAGTCAAACATAGTCAGAAGATCGTCCCCGCACCATAGTCCTCTTGCAGAGGGGCGTGCCCACCTGAACCGTAGCCTTGTGGATGCCACGACAATGGACACCCTCACAGTCCTATCATTGAGTTTAAAATGTGTGTAACATGTAGGAAACATGTTTTTAACATGTTTTAAACATGTGTTTCACATGTTTGAGACATGTTTCACACATGTCTTAGACGTTTGGAAATCGTTTGGCAGCACGCTTCCTCTCCATCGATCGTCCTCCACAGCCGTAGCCTCGCCGTCGCTCGGACGTCCACTTCCCGTGCATTTTTCGGTCTCGTGCGTGTTTTTTTTGTTTGCTCGTTGGTCGAGGATGGCCCTCGATGGTTCTCGCCGAGAAAAAATGCACACGTCCAAGCGATGCCGGGTGGCCGTGGGTCGGGACCCCTCAACTGATCGTCATCTGGGCACTGATCCTCTCCACTGATCGTCATCTGGGCATCGCTCGGACGTCCATTCCCTGTGTTCCTTTCGGTTTCGTGCGTGGTTTTTCGCCAAATGATCAAGGATGCTCCTCGATTGTCCTCGCCGAAGGAGACATGCACACGTCCGAGCGACGCCAAGTCATCCGCAACCCTAGCCGTGGGTTCGAGACCCTCTGAGCTGCTCGCACGCCGTGCCTCGTGGGCCTCCGCCGCGCGGCACTCCAGGTCCACCTCGTACAGGTGCACCAGCCGCCGCAGCATGTCCCGGCGGGTCAGCGGGAAGGAGTAGGCGCAGGACCGCGACCCGACGCCTGGGCGCAGGCGCCCTCCCGCCCGCCCTCTCCCCATGGTCTTCCTTCGGCCGCGCCCTCCCTCCCTCCTCCTCGTCGGGCGTTGGCAGAGCTGGGTTTAGTGGAACCTGGTCTAATGATGTGTACCAGGGGGCGCCCCGCCCCGCCCCGTTCCGCCAACCGGAACTGCCGTCACCCGAAGAACATCAGTCACGGCAAACCTGGTCTAATGAATCTGGCCAATTGAGGGGCCCCGGGGACCTGCCACTAACCGGGTCCCCTTACCCGGGGTCCTGACTATACCCGATCTTGCACGGTGGCACAACTCGCTCCAACGGAGCCCCCGTTTGAGCCTCTCGTCGCCAGTGCGGTCACCCTCTGCCTGGCCGCCGACGCAAAGACTTTCTGCGCCTTCCCTCCCCTCCTCAGCCCATCGGGATCCCCCGAAGTCCCCGAGACGGAAGTCCCTACGAGTTCAAGAAGCCTCGAAAATGTTCAAAATCCTCTAGATCCTCCCTCCTCCCCCCTCCTCCTGCCCCTACGGGAAGGAACAGGTAAGGGCCAGAATGAGGCCCGAGACCTGCGATGATGCTCTCCGGCTTGGCCTGGAGCGCGTCGGAGTCGAACGGGTCGTCCTCGCAGTAGAGGAGCCTCATGTCTGCGAGCGAGAGGCTCTCCCCGCGCTCCTCAAGAGAGGGGAAGCAGGGGACGTAGACTCATACCTCTGGCGGCGTGAAAAAGCAAGACGACCGCTTGTCGGAGGCTACGCCTTAAGAGGCCCTGATTCCAGCCCTGGGACTGAGGCGAAACAGCACACAACGAACAATCAATCCTCGCGAAACAAACGGCCCAGTGAGAGAGCGTGATCCGCCGCCGCTTTGCTGTGGAAGATTTCTCCCCCTCTTCCTCTGGAGCCCGGGGGTCCCCCCCCTCCAAAAATCCCCCCCCCCCCCCCTCTGCTCGAACCCCTCCCCCCCCTCACCCACGGCAAAACACCCCCTCCCCCCTCCCTCCCACAACCCCCCCCCCCTCTCAAAAACCGGGGGGGTCACTACCGGATGACCCCCCCCGCCCAGAAAAAACCAGAGGGGGGGGTCACTACCAGTTCGACCCCCCCCCCTCCCTAGCCGCTGGCAAACGACTCCCCCTCCTCCCCCACTCCGGACAGTGAGACAGCGGTGGGGACGGTGGGGACTACCCCTCCCTCCATACTCGCCGCCAGCAAGCGACTCCCACCGCCCTCACCACTGTTCCCACCACCGTCCCCACCACCGTCCCACTGTCCCCACTGTCCCCACCACTGTCCCACTGTCCCCACTGTTCCCACCACTGTCCCCACTGTCCCCACCAGTGCCCCCACTACTGTCGCACTGTCCCCACTGTCCCTACCACTGTCCCCACCACGGCGGTCCTACTCCCCCCACTGTCCCCACTGTCCCCGCCACTGTCGCACCGTCCCCACTGTCCACACCGCTGTCCTTGTGCTGTCCCATTGTCCCCACTGTCCCCACCACTATCCCACTGTCCCCACTGTCCCCACCACTGTCTCCACTGTACTACTGTCCCATTGTACCACCACCGTCCTCACCACCGCCCTCACCTCTGTCTCCACCACCATCGTCCCCACCACTGTTCCACTGTCCCCACTGTCCCCACGACTGTCCCCGCTGTCCCCTCGCCACTGTCCCCACCACCACCGTCCTCACCACTGTCTCACAGTCAACACTGTCCCCACCACTGACCCGCTGTCCCCACTGTTCCCACCACTGTCCCCACTGTCCCCACCAGTGCCCCCACCACTGTCGCACTGTCCCCACTGTCCACCACTGTCCCCACGGCCCCACTCTCCCCACTGTCTCCAATGTCCCCACCACTGTCCCACTGTCCCCACTGTCCGCACCACTGTCCCACTGTCCCCACTGTTCCCGCCGCTGTCTCACTGTCCAGAGTGGGGGAGGAGGGGGAGTCGTTGCCAGCGGCGAGGGAGAGGGGGGGTTCGAACCCGTAGTGACGCCCCTCCCTTGTTCATGATGGACTGGGGGGGGTGGAGGGGGGATTGGAGCCCCCAGTGACCCCCTGGTTTTCGAGGGGGAAGGGTTGAACCCCCCAGTGACCCCCCTCGGTTTTCTGCCAGCAGCGGCAGAACACGCTCGATCAGATTTCCAGAGCCCCACGCACTGCTATTAGCCCAGCGCGATTCCGATTAGGGGTGTTCTTGTCCGCCCAAGGTAAACATATGCAATGCAACGCGATGAGATGCAAAAGTGTAATGCAATGCGCCGTTATGCATAACATGCTGGAGCAGCATTGTGTTGCAGTGCATTGCGTAACATATAGAATAGGCCCTCGCACGGTATAGCGTAGCACAGCATAGGCGTACACAATGCCATGATACGTCATACCCTTGGGAACCATTGAAATGCATCGCATAGCTGAGCTTAGCATGCCATTGGGTACAAGCACATATCATACCATGGAATCGAACAGGCAGGTACTGGGATCGTTGCACAGCGCGCTGCGCACGATGTGCCCTTTGCTGCTGTCAGAAAAGCAATAACATGGGGCATGGTATCTGTGATGTGCTACGCCGTCCCATGACAAAGTGTGTCACGCAGTACTCTGATGGTAAACCCGATATAACCAGCGTCACTGTTAATATCGAGGGAGACATACAGAGCAACTCCGGTTGAACAAGATATGCAACGTTCCGCACGCGATTCCAAGCGATGAACACGCCGTGGCAGAAACACGTAATGCAATTACTAAATGTGGTATTGTCTGCGACGCCACTGCACAGGTTAACGTACGATTGCGTACCTTGTGGCGCGTAGCATTAAAACGCTTAACTACTTAATCCAGACCGTAGCGGCACATAGCGCATAATGTATAAGCATCACACATCATAACAGAGTCCCAAATCTCTCTCAAGTCTCGAGTCATAACATGGTACACGCATGAATGCCACACCACTTTTCATTTCGTAATACAACAGGTTTGGTTGATACCACGACAAATCGTCGCATTATTGCATATCATGGTAGGAAAAGAAAAGTATTCCTAACGTGCCATACAATTCACACATGATGGCGCCGCCAATGCACGACAACCCGCTCGTGCAAACGCAGCGCAAACATCTGTAGCATGGACGATCACATCGAAGCATTCGCAAGTCGTCCGCATATCACAACATACGACCCGACATAGCACCGTGGCATAACATATCCTGGCATAACAGGGCAAGAAAGCAATAGAAGAACGATGCTCAGCGCACAGCTTGCGCGAAGAGCGGGCGCCCACGTCACGACGAACAGACTAACCGCTGATCAAAAAACGCTCCTCTCCACGAAACATGGAGGAACCTGTCAGGCGATC